TCAGCGCGGCAAGTCCGGGCTGATGCTCCCTCTGCCCACTCGCTCATCTCTCCAGCCTGAACGTCCTGCGAGCAGTGCCTTCCAGGCGTGGGAGACTTACTTATCCGTGGCTGAAGGGAAGATAATGTCTCTCCAGACGTCTCCCGTCACTTCAATGCCATCTGTAGGCATGGCAGTAATTTTCCACGCGCTCCATGTGGGTGTTGACATACTAGAAACTGTCCGGGTGGGACAGAAATCTTTTCCCAGCTCCGGAGGTGAATTTAAGAGCATTTTGGCCCCTGTACGTCCAGGGCGAGAGCGGTCTCTCTCTGCTGCTGACAGTGGCTGGCAGGAGCCCGGGAGCCTCGGTCCCAGGGCTGCAGGCTACCCCGGAGGCCCCGGGCCCCATCCACGCGCGGGGAGCTGGCCGGCGGGCCCCTCCGAGGCAGGCGTTCCGCTGTTTTTGGAGCAAAGAGGCATTCCTTTAGGACAGGGCTGTTTTATTGCATTGAGGCTACTGACTTTGAGATTTCCCTGATGGAGGGGCAGGGGTGTCTTGTGGGAAAACACAGCTTCCACGCATAGAGATGAGCTGACCGCCTTTGAGCAAGATGCATTCTTTCTAAACGAAGTGTAGCTGATTTACAAACTAGTGTTAGTGTCCGGTGTACAGCACAGAGATTCAGTTACACACATATATATGTTCTCATACTCTTTTTCATTACAGGCCATGACAAGGTGTTGAATATAGTTCCCTGTGCTGTTCACCTTACGTATAGTAAGTTGTTTGAACAAGTTTGTTTTTTTCTTTTTAATTCTTAACACCTTTGCGGTGGTGCGGTTCCTTTGTGCAAACCACACACATTTCAGATGCTCAGGCTGATGGATTTGGTGGAGGCGTCCACACCCATGAAACCACCACCACGGTCACGACAGCCAGCATTTCCATCCGTCCCCAAGAGCTGCAATTTCCTGAGCAAGTTTCTTGAGCTCCCCTTTCAGCACCGCTCTCGTCGTCCGTAGGAGGGGGCGACCCTTTTCTGTACAGCAGTAGGCACTCCGCAAAAGCCGCTGTCTTTCCAATTTCTGTTACTGCCCTCGCTACAAAGGAAGTTGGTATATGTGACGTTGCCCAGATTTAAAAACGTCTGAGACACTTGTGATTTCAGAGCCGTGGACACTCCGATCGTTGCCTGGGGACAGGGGGCGCGGCTCCGAGAGCAGGAGGAAAGTGAGACCGGGTGGAGTTTGGGTGTGATGGTTGGCGTGCATTCTAGGCAAGCAGTGCGCGCACTGAGGACCGTTAATCCACAGTCACTCTGCTGCTGCCCACGTGCCCCCTTCAGCTTCCCCTCCATGTATTTTAAGAAAACGGTCGAATGACATCCAAAGGTGTGAAGCGCTCCGCTGAGTCGGAATCCCCACTTGGGGGCGAGGGGGGTGTGGCCACAGGGTGTTAAGTGACACAGCCGCCTGTCCGTGGCCAGTCAGGGGTTGGCCCTGGCCCCGGGGTCCCACCCGCTTTGCAGACGGCCCACCTGAGCGTCGGTACTGCAGGTTTGATCTTGGGACTCAAAGGTAACCGAGTGCAGTTCACAGAGGCGCTGAGTGTCCAGAATCCCCTCCCCCGGGCCCCACTCTCCCGTGTCCTGCTTCAGGCTGGTCACCGCCTTGTCCCGGCCTGAGGGGGCCGGGAACCAGTTCGCCTTCCAGTCCTGCTGCTGAATACCAGGCACCTCTGTTATCTGATGTGCAGGTCGCCTCAGGCAGGGCAGGGGCCGGATTGGCTGCATGAAAGCCAGGCGGGCCTCACAGACGCGGTGGGAGGGGGCGGAGGGGTGGGAGGACCGGGGTGAGGGTGTGACGACTCTGGGACACAGGGACAGCCAGCTCTCCTGGGCGTCCGGGCGCACAGAGGCACGCTCCTAGAATGCCGGGGGGCCCGGGCAGCCCTGAGAAGGTGAGCGCACACTCTGGTCCTGGAAGGTGTGGGTCTCGGGGTCCCTCCTGGGTGTCTGTGGGTGTCTGTACCCCACCGCCCCGTCCCTCCGCTCCCGAGGTCCGGCCGCCTGTGGGTTTAGGTTGTACCCTGGACTTCTCTGGTGTGCAGGCCCGAGCTCTGGCTGCCCCTCGTTTTCAGGCAGCGCACCTGCCCAGCGGTGGCCCTGAGCCACGTGGGTGTTTGGACGTTCAGACGCACCTTCCCGCCGGCCGTGACCCCGGGGCAGTGGGGTGGTGGGTGCGGGGCCGGCCCTCGGACTTGCAGCCCTGCACTCGGTCTGGAGGCTCGGTGGGGGGGCCAGCTCTCCCTGCACCCTGCGGACCCCGCCCCGCTGGGCAGCCGGGGCCACCTGCTCCTGTGACGGGGCTGGGGGTGCTGGTGACGTGAAGGGTCCGCTTTCCGCTCGGTGTGGTGCGGTGGGCTAGGCTGGGGGTCGCCTGGGTGTTGGGTCGGAACAGGGCAGGTGTTGCCGAGAAGGTTTGCTGCATTGGAGATTTTCTTTTGTCTCTGTGTTTGGGGCCTTTGGTTAGCCGCAGGCTTTCCCTGGAGCTGTTTCTGTCTGGTGGCCCGGGATCCACGGGAGGCAGTCAGGGCACCTCCCCAGGCCGCATCCTTCCTTCCGTCTGTCAGCGTCCCCGTGCCCGTGGCCGTGTGGTGCCCGGGGCTGTGGCTGGACGTGCCGGGACCCGGGAGGAGCAGGCCGCTCCGTCGTGGCCAGAACCCGGTTCCCAGGCCTGATACTCGTTTTGTAAAGACCAGTTGGTGGGGGGGTTGTAGCTCAGTGGTAGAGCGCGCTTAGCACGCGCGAGGTCCTGAGGTTAGGGTTTCGTGGGGACGGCGCTCCCGTTTTGCAAGAGAGTCCCGGAGAGCGCTGGGCGGAGGGCTGCCCCGCACGTGAGCCGTCTTCGCACCCGTGACTGCGCCCAAGAAGCGTGTCGTGTCTGGTTCGGCTCAGCTTTTTCTAAAAAGGAAAGCGTACGAGGGCCCCAGAGGGGGTCCTGCCTCAGGTTAGGAGACGCGAGGGCCCCTTCCCCGGCCCCCTTTCCGCAGCCCCGAGGCCATTCCTCCTTACAGCCCGCAGGAGAGCAGGGGTGTGTTTTCCTGAGCCCGGCTTGCGGCGTGCTCGTTCCTTGCCATTGCCAGAGCCCTCCGTCGTCAGTGGAGAAGCTGGCTTCTCTCCGGGCATCCTGCAGAGCAGACACTGCTTGGGCAAGACTCACTGCGAAGAGAAAGCTGTTCCCACATTAGGATTCCCTGTGCGGCACCCGTGGAACGGGGCCCAGTGTGTTTTCTTCCCAGTGTGTTTGGGAAGGTTTTGTTCAAAACCTCTGAACAAAAGACAAGAAGGAACAAGGTCCCGATTGTAGTGGGTGGTTTTGCCTGCATTCTCGGGTTCTTGTGTGTTACTGAGTGAAAGGAAGGCGGTGGCGGCGTGTTTTTTGGAGGGGGTAATTCCAGTTTGGATATGGGGACTTCACAGAAGAGTCCCCGGCTGTGGGCAGCGCAGGGCGCCCGACGTCCGCGCTGCTGGCACCTTGTCTGGCTCTGTCGGGGGGGATGAGGGCGTGGACGCTGCGACAGGAGGGAGCGGGTTCATCCTCGGGAGGGCCCCCCGCTGACCTTCACCCACAGGGCGCGTCCGTGTGATGTGACTGTTTGACATAAGGATTCACAGAGGAGAATTTTCACTCAAAGCCGAGGAAGTGTGTGTTTATCCATTGGGGACCATTGATCATTTCCTTCTTACTCCTTTAAAAATCGAAGTGCAGTCAGTTACAGTGTGTCACTGTCTGGTGCACAGCACACCGTCCCAGTCGTGCATAGACACACATGTATTCGTTTTCATATGCTTTTTCATTATAGGTTATTACAAGGTATTGTCTATAGTTCTCTGTGCTGTGCAGAAGGCATTTGGTTATTTTTAAATCTATTTTTATAAATAGTGGCTAATATTTGCAAATCTCAAACTCCCAAATTTATCCCTTCCCACCCCCTTTTCCCTGGTAGCCATAAGGTTGTTACTATGTCTGCCAGTCTGCTTCTATTTTGTAGCTGAGTTCACAGTGTCCTTTTAGTCTCTTTTTTTAGATTCCACATGTGGTATTTTTCTTTCTCTTTCTGGCTTCCTTCACTTGGAATGACGACCTCCAGGTCCATCCATGTTGCTGCAAATGGCATGTTTCATTCTTTTTTATGGCTGAGTAGTATTCCATAGTGTAAACACACCACACCTTCCTTATCTAGTCACCTGTCGATGTGATCATCTCCTTCTGTGATGTCTTTGATTTTCATCAAAAAACATCAGCTGTGGCATCGCTTTTTCAGTCTTTAGGGGGTCTTCTCTGCTAAATTGTCTTTATATCTGGCTGCCTGTGCCTCATTCCCCTGCTTAAAAGAAGGTTGGCAAAATGATCTGTTGTTTGTAGACAAACGAGAAGATTATAAGCTTCCCTTCAAAAAAAAGTCACTGCTATCAAATTTCTCATACGCTCTTGCTTTTAAAATAATACTTTAAATTTAGAGTTTGGCAGCTGTAAGAGGACTGTTTTACCTACGAGATGTTTTGTGGGAAACTCGTGGTAACCAGAAGGCAAAAATCAAGAGCTCAGACATGAAACACAGACTGAGCGATGCCCCTGTGGACAGAAACCTCCGATTTACAGAGGGAGACGGAAGGAGAAGGAAACAGTGGGGAGGCGAGCTTGGAGCCAAACCCACCCATCAATGCGTCGACTCTGCTGATGGGATTCTGAGGGTGATGCAGCTGGGGTCCCAGAGAGGGGCACCGTGCTCCGTGGTCCCTGACCGGAACCTGGAGGTCTGGGCTCTCCTCCCAGCAGCGGAACTAGAGAGAAAGGAGGAGACCAGAGAGGTGTTACTGCCTCATTTTGCAGAACTCTCTCAAATGGTGGAGTCAGGAGCTTCCCAGTTCGCTGCCTCACCCCAGAGTGTGACCAGGAGGAAGGGGTGGAGGGATGGAGACACGGGGGGGTGGAGTGTAGATGTGAGAGGCAGATGGACAGCGGTCGATGAGAGATAGATGGAGAAGACGGATGGATTATAGATCAGTAGACAGATGGATGGATAGACAGACAGACAGATGGACAGATAGACAGACAGATGCAGGTGGTCTCACTCACGTCTAAAAGTTTACCGTGAATTTGTCTGTTTATTACGGGCCAGAGGTGGAGGCTGACTTTCCAGACAGTTAAATAACAAAACTCAAGTTTCTTCACCTGGATGGGCAAGTACAGTCTTGACCTCAGCTAAATTTATTTTCTTTTTGGCTAAGTCATATAAGAGATTGAACGGCAATTTGTAATTATGGAGAGTAATTTAATGCACAAGTGAATACTTTTTATGTTTTTAAGATTTTTTTTTAATGTAACTAGGAAGACAAGGAAATGTTTTTGTTTTGTTTTTGTTTTTTTGTAATGTCACACGCCTGACTTTTGTTAAAGGTGGTGGGTCCTGCGTCTCAGAGAAGAGCTGCGTGGGGGTGAAGGGTGATGTTTGGCCCCCTCTGTCATTTTTTCTGCCTGGCCGCCCCCTCCCGCCGGCACCGGGCTGTGGAGGACTGGGAGCCGGGGCCCCGCCTGCGCGCAGCGTGAGTCCCCTTTCTTCCTGGGGACTGACGTGTGATGTAAACTGTGGCGAGCAGACAGCACACACGTCAGCCAGCTTCCCACGGAGCCTCGGTCGGTGTTCGGACCCCCGCCCGGCCCGACTGGGTGAAGGAAGTGCAGGGAGGGGGCTGGACGTCCTCGAGCCCAGCGGGAGAGGCCCGCTCCCTGCTTCCGCCCGCGGTGCCCCAGGGCCCCGTCTGCTGGGAACCAGGAAGGGGGACGAGGCGGACTTCCAAACTGAAGGTGTCATCGTCCGTCTCTGGGCGTCACCAGGGAAGGCACGTGAGAACATGGTGAGGAGGAGCCGGGAGATGCCGGGACTGAGAAGAGGCCCAGAGCAGGCTGGCCCAGAGCTGTGACGGCCGTTAACGGAGGAGGTGATCCCAGGAGCAGGGGCTGCGCGTGCCCTCCGGGCCGCGACCTCTCTGCGTGGCCCAGCAAATGCTCGCACATCCCTGAAGCAGGTGCACCGGACTCGACGGATAAACGTTCTTCTGATGCCACAGTTCTGTGCTGTTTCTTGTCGCGGGACCCTGGGGGCTGATCAGCTCCTCTCCTCCCCCGCCTCGGGCCAGCGCCCGACCCATATTTTCACATCGCGCCCTGAACTTTCCCCTTTCACCTCTTGGCCTCTGTGGACTCACTCACTGATTCACAGAACCACTGACCCGAAGCCCCCGCCAGCTGCCAGCTCCTGTTCTGTGAGCGCAGAGCCCGGGAAACTGCCCAGCGCACCCGTACCCGCACAGCTTTTGGTCCGTCAGAATCCCGCCAACCTTCCAGGCTTCTAGCAGTTACCACTTCCTCCAGGAAGCCTTCCAGCTCTCCCCAGACAAAAGCAGTTCCCCCCGCAGGCCTTTCTGAAGCTCATGGGCCCCTCAGTGTGATGCTAATGCCAGTCTCCCCATGTGGACAAAACGCTCGCCTGCCTGGCGGGCAGGGGCTCGGTTTCCCACAGCACCCAGCGCGGTGCTGGCAGGTAACTGCTCGGCAGACACACCTGAGGGGGAAGGTGGACCCAGGCAGACGTGACGGAGGAGTGCGGAGGGCCCTCTGCGACACCGAGCGTCCAGTTTCCTATCCCAGCTTTGATCAGAAGGGCTGAAGGGTGGGCTCTGAAGACCATCTGGTTGGTTAATTAATTCAGCACACATTTGTCTTAGAATAGGTATATGTGTGTGTGTATTGACCGGGGGTGTCACCCTGGCTTGGGCGCCGCCTCCCCCTGCACGAGCCGGACGGCTGCGTCTGCTCTGGGGACTCATGGGTGAGTCTGGGCAGCAGGCGGGCACCAAGCGCAGCCCAGGGTGCCCACGGAGCGTTTGCAGGGGGTGCGGGAGGCAGCGCCCATCCCCAGGGCGCACAGAGTGGGTTGTACAAATGAAACACCAGCCCCGGACTTTCCCATAATGAAAAGTTTACTAAATGTTAAAAAGAAAAACATGCTGTGTTGGGCTCCCCCCCCCGAAATGTCTGTCTTTGGTTTCTCTAAGTTTCACGACTAAGTGAATATGCAAACTTTCCTTTTCATTGATCCTGCTTAGAAGCCGTAAATTGATTTTAAACCTGTGGCTTGATTTCTTCGGTCTGTTTTGGGAAGTTCTCTGGGAAAATCTCTTCCAGTCTGCTTCTGCCTCGTTCCGTTTCTCCCCCCTCTTGGACTCCAGTTACGCACGTGTCAGCACCTTTCACCACGTCCCCTGGGGCTTTCTGCTCCTTCCCGTATTTCCCATCTTTTCCCTCTCGCTGCTTCAGGCTGGAGATTTGCGTCCGACTTATTTCCCAGGTCACTCATCATCCCTCCTCGTCTTATCTCCCCTCGGAAGCACCGACCCCGTGCTCACTGGTGTTAATTTTGTTTTGAAATTCTGGGGTTTCCACTGGATTGTTCTTAATGGACTTCAGTCCTCTGGTGAAATTCTCCTATCTGTTCCTACATTTTCAGCTCAGGTGTGTTAGAGGCTGTGTCTTTTAACTCCCATGTTTATACTGGTGTGGGTGTTTTTTTTCTTTTTTTGTGTGTGTCTTTTTATTTCTTTGTTTTGTTATGTGGCATGCCTGATCAGGTTTTCTATTAAATATTTGAAATATCAAATGCTTAAAAATGATAGATAGATAATTTGATGGGTGGATGGATGGATGGAAGGATGGATGGATGGATAGATAGATGGTTAGATGGGTGGATGGGTGGATGGAT